GGCCGCCCTTGGAGTCAGAAGCTGAGCCCTCGACCATGGGGACATGCCATGTCTTATTTTTGTTTGTCACAGACCTTTCCAAATGACACTTGGTTTTTAAAAGCATCTAGCAAATAGATGAGTGCTTATAAAAAACTTCTTTACCCTCGGGATGTTAATAATCTAACTAGAGGACAATTGAATTGAAAAGCTAGAGCATATGCGCAACTCTCTAAAAAAACAAAAGATATATATTAAGTGTGAAATACACTCAGGACCATTTATTTAGAAATTACTTAATCCTGAATGTATAACAAACATAAGGAATCAAGTGAGTAAAGTCACTGTCAATAAAATGTTTTTGTGGTTAGCTGCCAGGGCTCAAGTTGTTCCCTCGCTCATGGCAATGGAAGGAACCCCTGCCCTATCTTTCCCCCGTCCCCATGACCCATGATGGATCAAACCATTGTGCATTGTAGCATTTTCACTAGCTGATTCTTAGATGTAAATTACAGACACCACTCCCATCGAGTCCACTCTGACTCATCGTGACCCTAAAGAGGGTTTTCAAGACGGTAAATCTTTATGGGAGCAAGCAGATAGCCTCATCTTTCTCCCAAGGAGTGCTTGGTGTATTTGAACTGCTGACCTCGAGGTTAGTAGCACACTTGTCCCATGGCATTAGTGAGCTAGGCTTTTTTTTTTTTTTTTTTTTTACCCCACATCAACAAAGTCTTGGGGGTTGGGTGGCGGGGGAAGATCCACCCTGTACTCCAACATGATCGTATCAGCCCCATGTAGGTCAGAGCAGAACTGAGGTCCACGATTCTTCAGAAGTAGTTCCTCGGACCTGTCTCACAAAGCACCTCTGGGTGGACTTGAACTTCCAACCTTTCAGTTAGCAGCACCAGGACTGGGGCATACAGACTTTATAAATAGGAGAATCTGTCAAGCCCTCACTTGGATGCTGTTTACTCTTGGTTTACACTGACGGTTGAGAACAGTTAGTAGAACCTAAATCTACCCTCAGCCACGAGAGTCTCTCCACAAAAAGTAGAAAAGGGAGAAAAGTTTTATTATTGAATAATTATTAAACCAGAGCATGGTGCATCACAGGCCATCCACTAAAGAGATGGCAAGGACAGAAAGGAGCCTTAATTGCTGTATAGCTAGCCAGTTATAATCCATAACATCTATGTTCTCAAGGTAATCTCCTTAGGTTTTGGCTCCCTTTCTGGCAGGAGGCCGTTTGCAGTTGGGTTGTGCTAACCGCCAGTAACAGGAAGGTAAGGAAGGACCACATGAAGTTACATCTCCAAGAGGTAGTGGCCAGAACCTTGAGAAAACGGTTTAGATTTAAACACGCTCACGCCATACAAAAGCATTTATAATGACACATTTTCTCCAGTCAGCGGTGGTGACGGCTTGGGTTCTGCGCTGGGCTGCTAACAGCAAGATCCAGCGGGTTGAGCCCGCTCCTCTGGATAAAGGTATGGCAGTCTTACTTCCATAAAGATTTAGTCTCGGGAACCCCATGGAGAGATTCTAGTCTGTTCCTATAGGGTCACTAGGAGTCAGCATTGACTCGATGGGGATGGGAGAGTGAGTTCTCAAAGCAAGGGTGGAGGCTTGTTTCTTATTTTCAACAGGGAGCATTAAGACCTCGCTTGTTCCCATCCTGCAAGATGGAAGGTGAAAAAGCTGACAAGAAGCCAGACGCCAAGGAGAAGAAGCCTGAAGTCAGGAAAGCAAATGCCAGTGGCCAAGTTCAGAAGGCTAAGATCAAGGGCTAAAAGCTCGAGACAAGGGGAAGCCCCACGGCAGCCGACAGCTCATCCAAAAACTCTGTCCTGGTCAGAGGAATTGGCTGGTATTGCTGCTCTGCCATGCATTCCAGAAAGGCCATGAACAAGAGGACGGATTCAGTGGCCAGATCCAGGGACGAGAAGAAGGAGAGGTCCTGGCTACTGTCACAAAGCCAGTTGGTGGTGACAAGCATGGTGGCACCCAGTGGTTAAGCTGCAAATAATGCCTCGGTGTGCATTACCCACAGAAGACGTGGCTCGGAAGCTGGCGAGCCAGGGCGAGAAGCCCTTCGGTCAGTACGAGAGGAGACTGTCCGGCAACATCACCCCGACCATTCTGATCATCTCTGCGGTTGCCACCTTGCCACCGAGGCAAGAGAGTTCCTGAAGCAGCCCGCAGGGCTTCGCTGCCTGTGACTGGACCTCTCTGCCTCTATCAAGTTCATCGGCGTAGAAGTCACCAGAAATTTGTCATCACCCCCTCCACCAAAATGTCTATCAGCGGTGTGAAAATACCCTAACATCTCACATACGCCAACTTCAAGAAGAGGAAGCTGCTTAAG